CCGCGCGGACCCGCGCGAGGACCCACGAGCTCCGTGCGCGGCCTGGGAACCCAGGACCCAGGTCCAGCCCCCTCCCCCGCTGCGGCGCGCTCGGCACCCGGCTTGTCCCAAGGGGCCTAGGGGAGCAGGCATCCCTGCGGCGCCGTGAGACCCTGGAGCACACCAGGCGCCCGGCCCGCAGCCCTGGCCGTGCACCCGGCTCTCCGCCTCAGGGTGTCCTGGCTGGACCCTGTGGCCTGTGTCCACACCCCCACCCACGCCCGGTCTTCTTTCAAAACCCGCCAGCCCTGCCTTCACAACCCCCCTTCCGCCCTTCACCTTCCCTCTTGGGCCCACCCTTGTCATGGCTGAGGCTTCCCTTGCCCATCCCCCCCTTTCAGACCATCAGGCAGGGTGATTTGGGTCCCTTACGGTGGCTCAAGGCCGTATGTTTAGACCCCTCTGGCCTGATAAGCAGGAGGCTGCAGTGACTGCAAGTGCTGGGATTATGAAGGAGGCAGTGCCCTAGAGGCCCAGGTTTAGAAGAGAAAGTTAATAATTGTTCATTAATAGTAGCTAACATTTATTGAGCACTTACTATGTGCTCAACACATTTCTCACGTTTAACACATTTAATCCTCTTGTCTCCAGGTAGAAACTTCATTTCTTTTTCATAGGACCTTTCTCCTTTCTTTGCTTTTCATTCAAACTGGCCGAATCCAGCACCTGACTCACCCGTCTCCTTCGCCTTTGCATGTCCACTCCCTTAATATTAAGCTCTCATGACAGTGAGGTTATATACATTTTTCTCTTATATTATTGATTTTCAAGAGGGAGGGCTGGAAAGGGGGAGAGAGAGGCAAACGATGTGAGTGAACTGTTGATCCGCTGCCTGCTGCACGCCCCGGGCCTGGGATCGAGACCTAAACCTGGGCGCATGCCCTGACTGAAAGTCAAACCCGTGTCCTGTCTGTCTGTGGATGGGATGACACCCAACCACCTGAGCCACACTGGCCAGGGCAGGACAATGAGAGTCTGGCCAGCATCAAATAATCTTAGGAACAAAGCCTTGGGTCTGTTGACCACAGAGACAGAGTTTCAGTCAAACTGGAGATAACATTCAGGCCTCAGTTGCATTTAAGCTGCAGGCCCAGAAAAGGGAGAAACCGGAGGAAGCAACACTCCGGTTGACATTAGGGCGAGATACACCATCAATACACCCTACTCTAGCAGCAACCAATCAGTAGAGACCACAATCCTGACCACAACCCTAACTCCCTTAGTCACCATGTGTCTCTGGGCTGGGCCACCTCCTAAAAACAAACCCTTACTTTCTTTGCTGCAAGCCCCTGTTCCTGTCTTATAGGGCTTTGATGGACACGGGCAAATAGACCTCGTCAGTCCTGTAACACTGTGGACGAAAAAGGGACCACATACTAAAACTGACAAGCTCAGGAGAGGCCAGCATGGCAGGGCCTACAAACTCAGAGACTGAAAGTAACACCATAGAATGATCTGAACACAAAAATTCTTAAAAGTGGGTCGTGGTGGTAGTCACGGCCTAGGCCTGTAGCTTCCTTGACAAAGGTCAATCTTTATCTTAAGTGAGCCTATCATCTTTTTGCATCTAAGATAGCATATCTTTGGAAACAGAATAATCTCCTTTTTTCCAGACCCTTTGGGGCACAATGTCCCACCCGACCACCAGAGCACAAGACCAAAGAGGAACCCCTCCTCGTTATCTTGTCCCCCAAATGCCATCTCTGTGTGTATTCAATATTCATTATTAACTATCCTATACTGGTTGTTAGACCGGTGGGGTCCTACCAGACCTGGGTTCAGCAACCTTGGTACTTGAGTTCTGGCTAGGAAAGAATTCAGAGCCAAGACTCAAACTATAAGAGCACATTTACTGGGAAAATCACAGAGGTAGAAGTAATTTGTAGAAAAGGTGGGCTTAGGAAACAAGTTATAGAGGTAAAGGAAGGGCCCTTGGAGCTTGAAGTGATGCAGGAAGGTACAGTTGATGCACCTGGGGGGGGGGGGGGGGAAGGGAAAGGGAAAGGCTTGGGGCATCAAGGTCCGGGAGGGAGACCGCATGCTGGGTGCTTCCTCCTAAGGGTTTAAGGGTGGAGATTTTAGGGGAGGTCCCAGGGGAAGATCTCAATAGAATATTCAGCAGCTTTCCAAGTGTGTCTTTAAAGGGTGTACTTCGCCACTGATTGATTGGTCGGCACCAGGACGGGGTCATTAGTCAAGACAGCTGGTCCTGAGGTCAGCCTTGGTGTCGTTAGTCTGGTTTTGCTGCTCTTTCTGGGCCTGGAGCTGAAACACAACTGAGGCCTAGATGTTATCTCCAGGGAGGAAAGGTCAGGGGGTCCAAACTGCATGATGAGTGACGTGCTAGGGGAGGAAAGATTAGGGCGAGGTCCCACCCTGTAATTGTCCTTTGCTAGGCACCCGGGGCTTTCTGCCCTGGTGACCTTCTGTACCTGGCCGGTCCTCCTTCCTCTGCTCAGGTCCAACTGCCTGCCACATACCCGCCAATGTAAAAGAAGAATGTATCTCTTCATTTTACTCTATTCAACCCAGAGATTTCCCTGCCTTGCTTTCTCCCATTTCGCCTCTCTACCGCCAATGGATTTCACCTGACCCTCCTTACGTCTCTTTGATTCTAGTGCGTAAAATAAGCTGTAAAACTGCCCTTCTCCAGAGCATTTTCTTAGACGTTAGGATTTTGCTTCCCAGCAATTGTTGTCAGTTTGGCTCAAATAAACTCATAAAAATTCTCTACAGGTTTGGACAATCTTGTTAAAAAAAAACAAAATTCAGCCCTGGCGGGTTCGATTCCCAGTTAGGGCACATACCCAGGTTGTGGGCTCAGTTCCCAGTAGGGGGTGTGCAGGAGGCAGCCGATCGATGATTTCTCTCTCGTAGATGTTTCTATCTCTCCGTCTCCCCTCCTCTCTCTAAAAATCAATAAAAACACATTTTTTAAAAGAGTGGATTATTTCAGCCAAGCACCTTCCTGTTCCCTCAGTGGGAGGCAGGGTGTCTATCAGGCAGATTCTTTACTAGTATTGATTAGTAATTTCTTGACTGACAGATTTAAAAGTCCACTCCAGGGAGAGGGTGCAACCATTATTAGTTATTAAGTTTTAGTTTGGTGACATTATTTAGTTTAGTTTGGCCTAGCATAAGTGACTTCATTTTGGGTTGTTTCTTTTTATTTCTTTAAACAATCTTCACAAACATCCTATATGGTAGGAGTGAAGCTTACAGATAGTGACAGTGTTGTTGGGCCGGAGCTCCTGGAATTCAAGGTGGCCAGCAGCCCACCCACTGCCCTTTTCTTAATCCTGCTCTACGAGGTCAACCACCCTTGGCTCTTAGGGGGGCTAAGGAATCCCTCTTTCGCCGCAGCTGATTTCACCCCCTCTTCACCTTGATCTATCACTGAGGTCCCTCCCTCTCTCTGGGCAAACCCCATAAGCACCCTCCCCCATCCTCAGGCCC